AAACGGGCAGTTGGAGCGCGTGGGTGAGTACAGGCTCTGGCCGAGCGTCGCTCGAGACGAGAAGAGTCTTCTCGGAGCTCATTGTGTCGAGGGATCGCCAGCTGAAGGAGGGTTGGGAGCCTGGAGCGGAGTCCGCGCGGACGACGAGCGAGGGCGTCTCTCGCACAGCTCTGGAGGTCGAGGAAGATTTGGCGATACAACAGAGCAGCGACGCAGGGTCACCTGGGCCGGTCCAACCCGTTTCGGAAGCCATCTACCCTCCCTTCCTCTTCGTCGTAGCCACTGAGGGAGGGAGCGAGGAAGGGGGAGAGAGGGAGCGAGGGGGTCAGTGCGCGCGCGAGGGAGGAAAGGCGAGAGCGAGAGGGGAGCGCACTAACGAGGCGGTAGCACCGCCGATACGGCACCGCCGTCGCGTCCCCACCGCACAAGGTCGAGAGGACCCAGAACCCGAGGCCGGACGCGGCGACGACGGCGAGCAAGACGGCCTTGAGGAAGGCGCCCTCGCGCAGGTCGTCGCGGTCGGGGCTGTCTCGCGCGGCGAGCTCGAGAGAGAGTCAGGGCTTTGCGTGCAGGAGAGGGAGAAAGGTGACGAGGCGACGCACTGCTCGTGCCACAGGTGCTCGACCTCGGTCATCTGGAGGAGCCCGCTCACGATCACGCACACGAAGAAGGCGATCTGGCTCGCGGTAGGCCTGTCAGTCCTCGTCCCGGACCACGACCGGATCGAGGAGAGAGAGAGAGAGAGAAAGAGGAGGAGGGGACGCACGAGGAGGATGTCGTGCTCGTGCGGGAACTCGACCGTGTCGAACACGGCGAGGAGGACCAGACTCGCGCTCGCGAGGACGCCGACGAGGACGTCTGCGCACCCAACGGCGACCCACAGGTAGCGCTCGTCGGTCACCTCGGTGAGGACGCGCGTCGTGCGCAGGAAGCGCTCCGTGACGAGCGACAGGGAGTAGAAGACGGCGGTCGAGATGGCGCCGAAGAGAAAGGTGAGGCGGTGCGACGCGCCGATCGAGGCGATGGACGACAAGGAGCCGTCCGAGGCTAGGCGGGCTCGGCCGTCCTGGAAGGTCCACAGGCCGAGGAGCTGCGGCGGCCGGAAGAGGGGGTGGTCAGTCCCGGGTCGCGAGGCGGACGAGCGGTGAGAGGAGAGAGAGAGAGAGCGGGGGCGTACCGCGAGCAAGGTCCCGAGCCACGACAAGGTCGCGAGCACAGGGATGCACCGGATGAAGGTGGTCGTGAGCCACTTGACGGCCGGCGGCTCAGCGTCGAAATCCCGACGGCAATCGAGCCTCGAGTCGTCCTCGTCGCGGTCCGAGTCGCCGCACAGAGAACGAGCGCCGATGCGGCCGTAGCGGGCATCGCGCTTAAGCGGCAGCATGTGCGGGGCGTGCGTAGAGAGAGCGAGAGGCGGGAGCAGCGGCCGAGTCGGCAGTGCAGAGGAGGGAGGAGGACGGACGGACGGAGGCGCGAGCGAGCGGGGGAGCGTCCGCGGACGTGGGTCGACGCGGCGACGGTCTGCTCTAGCGTGTGTCCGGTGCGCGGGCACGACGAGCCGACGAAGTGACGAACTGGCTCGATGCGATGAGGGGAGGAGGGTCGACGCCCGACCACGACAGCTCGCACCTACGAGCACCCTCGAGAGCGACTCGGACCAGCTCAGCACACTCGCCACAGCCACCCGAGCGCGACCCACCACCACCCGAGCTCGTCGGTCCCTCTCCAACCTCCCCACCTCCCGCTCGCTCGCCCGCACACCATGGCCCCACCGTCCACCGAGCAGATGGCCCAGGGCAGCTTCAACATCTCGAACGACATCGTCGAGGTGCGCCCCCTCCTCGTCGTCCCCTTCCTCGTCGTCCCCCTCCTCCCGCCGACGCTGACGACACCGCCCCGTCCACCCACCCCTCACAGACCGACGAGGTGTTCCGCTACGACGCCCAGGAGCAAAAGGCCATCCTCAACGCTCGCCCGTGGAAGCAGGACCCGCACCACTTTAAAAAAATCCGCATCTCGGCCGTCGCCCTCATCAAGATGGTCCGTCTGCTCCCTCTCTCTCTTTGGTCGAGGCCTCTCACTGACTCTCTCGCCGTACCACGCACTGCAGGTCATGCACGCGCGCTCGGGAGGCCAGTACGAGATCATGGGGCTCATGCAGGGCAAGCTCGACGGCGACACGTTCGTCGTCCTCGACGCGTTTGCGCTCCCCGTCGTCGGCACCGAGACGCGCGTCAACGCCGCCAACGAGGCCAACGAGTTCATGATCCAGTACATCGAAAGCTCGCCCGCCGTGCGTCCCCCCCCCCCCACCACCACTTGTATCTGTTTTTGGTGGGGGGGGAGGATGGCGTG